ATATAATTGAAGAGCTTCGTGTTCGGCTCTAGGTTTTGGTGCTCTCTGTAAGGGAATACCCTTTAATTGAATCTAGTGGAAGTGTTATACTTGCAGCTACCGGCAGAGAGTTGATTATTAGTGCAGTGGGTCGTGGCAGTCGGGGCAGTGGTGTTCGTTGGTGGTCCATTGGGAGTTGTGTTGGCAATAGTCAAAGCAATGGTTAAAGCTGTGCGGCAAATTGCTGTTTGAAAGCCAGAGGGCAGCAATGAATGAGAAAGACAAGCGCAAAGCAAATGGGCAAAATCTCATTTACAGTTCAGCTTAAAAAATGGCAAACAAACCCAAAGTCCAAAGTCGAGAGTCAAGAGTCGAAAGTCTGAAGCCCGAAGCTCAGAAACCCCGAATAGCCGCAGATAGTTGGATAAATATTGGCCGGCTGCCAGCTGCCAGGACACATCATCTACATCTACAGGATGTCCAACGCACCAACCACCCACCCATCGTGCCCCACTCTTTCCGGCTTGTGCAGAAATAAAAAAAAAATAAAATAGTAAAAGAAAAACTTGACCTGATGTTATTAACTTTTCCATACAATTTGATGAGCTCGGGATATGAATGTATGAAATAATTTTCCAAATTAAATTGAAAAAGCTCAAATGGTCGACAGAAACATGAAATGTGTGCAAATTGTATTTGAGGGGCAGCTCTGTTAGGGAAATCAACTTTGGACTGTTTATTTTCTTACTACACTTGGCAGTTGGGGGAGGGGGAGGGTGGTAGTGGCTGGGAGATTTAAGTTTTGTGAGCAGGTGCTGACATCAGAGATAAACACTAACTAAAAATAAAAGCAGCTTTTGACTTAAGTCTAAGTCTAAGCTGCCATTAGCAACACAAGCTCTGATTTTTGCTGTGTTTATTATATGTATGTGTGTCGCTCTATCTGTGTGCGTGTGGGTGTCTCTGCGTGTGGCATTAAGCATACGCCCCCTTTGCCAGTTAATTGCACATTGGCGCCGGTTATGTGCAGATAATCGCCACATAAAGACATTTCATGATTGCCCTTTCGGTTATGGCTTATGCTCATATCTTGCGCTTACTCTCGCTCTCTCTCTCTCTCTCTCTCTCTCTCTCTCTCTCTCTCTCTCTCTCTCTCTCTC